TAAGAGGACGGCGGATCAATCACGTGTTCAGATGTAAAACGAAAGAATAATATTTGTCATTTAACCATTATAATCCGATCACACTACAAATTTAAGCTATAATTAAATAGTCGGGATATGCACGTTTGGGCTAAATGATTTAGCCCAAATGTCTTGCCCCAAATTATTCGCCGGACATTTTGAACTTATATATAAAAGGGAAAGAAAAATGTACTTTCTAACAATGCAACATGATTATTAATATATAATACCCGTTTATTCAGACGTTGTATATAATAAATGTTCATAAAATTAAAAACAGATTTAACATCAGAATTTTTCTTTTAATTTTTTTTTAAATTTTTCTGACTGGGAATAATAAAAAACAGAATTATTTGACTCTTTACCTAATTTTTACTTGAGAATGAGAAACACGACGGGTGCCACAAATAGAACAGGAAAGGAGATCACCCCCGGTTGTGGATGGGATTGCTCAACTATCATATAAAAATGAAATATGATTACCAATCAAACTCAAATGAAGTGGTAGTGCGTAATTATAAGTCACCTATGGTCACCTATCATGTCTTAGTTTTCTGTGTAGCGATTTGTTAACTGATTTTGTCTTCTTTTCGCTTCTCTCTTTATTTTTTGCAATGGTCTTGTCTGTTTTTCTTCGACTTACGATTTCTGATTGTCCCTTTGGTGTCTATTGCTTTTTTTTTTACCATATAATGCTATATATACTCTGCAAAAAAAGAAACGCATAATGGATTTTTGAGAATTTTAATACATATATTTTGAATGGAAATTTTACAGTTACTAATAAAGATATTCACTCAAAACATGTTTGATCGAGAAGAGGACAGTCAATTTCTTCGAGATTGATGAATAAAAGTCAATTTATCACAATTAGAGTTACTACCGGTGCCATTAAAGTTAGTCCCGTGTATGACCACCTCTCGTTGCTTAGACTGCTACGTATCTCCTCGGCATGGATGCTATCAATGTTCTAATGTTGTTGCGTGGAATTGCTCGCCATTCCTGTTGCAACATTTGTCGGAGCTGATCAAGGGTCTGAGACGGGGTTTGACGCTGGCGCACACGTTTATCCAGTTGGTCTTCTAGATGCTCAATAGGATTCAAGTCCAGTGATTTTGAAGGCCAAGGTAGCACATTGATTTTATTCTTCTCAAGTAGTCTATTGTTAAACGTGCTGTCCGAGGCCTAGTATTGTCCTGCTGGAATAACTCCCTCTGTCGGTCAGAAACATGCATAAGGTGAGGTTCGAGAATTTCGTCTCTGTACCTTAGAGCCGTTCAATTACCCGGAACATGTACCAATTCCGTTTTACGGTCATTAGAGATAGCCGCCCACATCAAGATATTTCGTCCACCGAAGCTGTCCACTTTCTGGACACACGAGGGAGCAAAACGTTCATTCTTGAAGCATAAAACGGGACTCATCACTGAATCAGATTATGCGCCAGTGGCGGAATGTCCAGCCCCTCAATCTGTTGCACCATTGGACTCTATTCCGTATGTTTAATGGCCTCAAAACGGGTCCAAAATACGGCCTCCTGGGTCTAATGTCGTATTGTCGCAGTCGATTGCGGACTGTTTGTGATCTAATTCTTCTCAATCCTGGTATCTCAACTGCAGTGGCTGTTGCGGCAACGGTTCGATTCCGTAGATGAAATACCTCGATGTAGCGATCTTGTCCAGGAGTCGTTAGACGAGGTCGTCCACTCCTCGGGCGGTCTTTAGTACAGCCAGTCTGCTGTTATCTGTTCCAAAGTCGCGAAATTGTGCTCTGGTTAACATTTTCAGTTCTTGCTACTTCACTTTGGGACACTCCGGCCTAGAGACGGCCGATAACGATATTTCGAATGGCAGCGTTTTAACGTTGTGATGAATTAAATCTTCAAACTTGGTCCTTATATGCGCAAAAGTGTAACAGTTGAGTTGTCTTGACCACAAAATTCTCGTGAAACACGTTAGCAAAATTTCGCGGCGAAAAAGGTCATATGCACTTTTAGCGAGTCGCAAATTATATGTGGCAGAGAGCCAAATTGCATTTAAAGTTTAAAACTTACCTGTAAAAATTTCAAGATGCAATTGATCGTTTCATTTTACCTTGTAAAATATATATTTTACATTTTGAAAATTCATCCGAGCTATGCGTTTCTTTTTTTAACAGTATATTATAATAACATTTGACAAGAACAGCAGGCTTATACGACAGTTTTGTGCAAAATTGTTTTGAAATGTTTCTTTGGGAATAAATTTCTGAAGTATCAACCTAAATTTATCACAGAAAATATTTTGTATTAATAACTGTATTGAACATTCCCGTGACTATGAACGGACTGCCGTGCTCTACAAACTTGGTTATCATGATAAGAACTATGTTCAAACACTTAGAAAATTGGGAAGGTGGAAAGAGGTTTTACATATTTTTTTCATTTACTGTGCCTCTACTTTTTGTTACCGAAGAAATAACCAAATCAAGATTCTTGTAATAAAAAGTTTATCAACTGTTGTAGGACATGGGACCAATAGACAGACAACTGATACCTTTATCTCCTAAAATTAACATGTCAATGGTTGGTATTTTTGCTCATTCATTTTGTCAAATGATGGTGTTGTGTTTTTTTTTTTTATTATTGATTTAAAATTTCATTCTATCCAGAAAGAGGAATTGGAAAATGTACTTAAAAAAAATTAAGTAATACATTTTTATATAAATGGGTTTCTTTTTCCATTGCCAAAAATACGATTCCTTTATTTTAATATACAAATACCTTATAGTGTTAAAAAGCAATGTAATGAGGAAGAAACATAAGTTTTATTACAAGTTCCTCGAGTTAATAGTTGTTTATATTTTCAAGTGAGACTGATCATTGTTACCTAAATTATTGACTGGTCACAGATTTGTATGGCACTGATTTTTATAAAAGTAAAATATCGACCCCACTTGAATATTTTAATTTTATACATTATTTTCATTTGCATTTCCTTTTAAATCATAATGGTCATTTTACCCGTTACTATTTTAATAGATTTTTCTTTATTTTTGTTAACCTTTCCACTCTGAGCTTGAAATTTCGAACCCTACTCATGGAGAAGTGTTTTCAAATCTGATCTTAATTGATAAGTTGGTGATTATCTCTGATTACTCCTGGTCCCTCCACACAAAACCAACAACAAAAAAATAGTTGCCATGACAATCAATAGTGCTGAAAGTGACGTTAAACACAAACAAGCAAACAAGCTAATGTTTTATTTTAATAACATCAGCCATTTTGGTTGGGAATATAGATAATCCGATGTTCATCTGGAAAGAGATAATGTCAAAACAATCCCAGAGGTTTTTGCTGGAGGGGGTGCTTTATTTACTTTTTTTACAAACGGTAGTGGATATGCTTAATAGTGATTGGGTACATCCACAATAACATCTGGTTAAACCTCTGCAAACGAATTGCATACCAAGTGAAGTGACACACCCTTCAATAAAATGCAAAGAAAGTCAAAATAAAAATGCTCTTACTAGAAGGATACTGTTGCACCGTATTGTCATTTTTTCTACTCAAGTACATCTCATTCTTAACTTTTTCAATGGGAAAATATAAAGGTAGAAAAACTATTGTCGTGGCTAAATAACTCTTAAACTGACACAATTTAAATTGTCCAACCCATTAACAGACTTTATTCCCCTAATATTCACTAAAATGTGGAATACTCACGCTATATTACAATTATGAAATATTTACTAATGTCAATTTATTTTTTAGAACCAAAGTACTATTTTGTGTCCTTTAAATGATATTTAAAAAATTTTTTTTTTTCGCCTTATATCCAAAAACATGCTATGCGTATAAGCATAAATACCACATACTTGCGCGACGCCTTTTAGTTTTACTGAAACTGCGCAGACTACGAAATGTTTTTACAGGTGGAAAATGTTCTATGATAGATATCAATTTTGCAGACACTTTTCATTTTTTGATTTGGTTCTAATGATATTCCAAAAATTTGTATATTTAACAGAGTTTAACGTTAAATCGTGCGTTTTACTCTTAACAGACGTATTACCGACCCGATTAACAGACCAACCGCCCATATAGCCGCATACTCAGGTAGATTAACCGACCAATCTCTCGGTTAACCGAGTGACGGCCGTGTTATTGATTATCAATACATCAGACCATTGATTTTCTTGTTTGAATTGTTTTTGCATATTGACCTATCGGTGATTTTACTAGCTTACTACACTATATAGGTTTGGCTCATTGTTTGGGTTGTACGGCTACCTATAATTTACTTACGTTAATCATTGGCAATCATATAACATTACGTTATTTTCCTAAAATATAGAAAATCACATGTCACAATAATATAAATAGACGGTAGTATTCATAATCAGGGGCGGGTCGAGGGTCCGAGGACTGGGTATCGGGATAATTGACCGAAATGGTAACAAAAACGCTGAGCGTAGTGATGTGATTTTTTAACGATTTTAAGCAAATATTGAATTTTTCTACCGCTCTCTTCCCCTCCCCTTTTTGGAATGCACCACTGATAATGATTGTATAAACAATTATGTAAACGATATATTAGTAATCTAATTTAAGCAAGTGAACATCTCAATTTATAATTCTCACGAATCCCTTTCATGCAACACTTGAAAACGTTATTTTAACCGTGATATTTAGGGGCAGAGTTGTCAATGTATATTTGTTCCGCCGACCAGAGGTTCCCCTGGAAACTTTGTTATAAACAATGTGATGTTTCATGACAGAGTTATACATTGACAGTCTTAATTTGTTTTAAAAAGATCAATATTAATTCTGTCAAAGTTTTAGTTTTTATTTTGTCACACGGTTTTCATTGTGAAAAAAGAATTTTATTTCAAGATGTAGTTTGTTTATATTTTGATCACATGAGTAAACTATTTAAATTTTAGCGCACATTAAGTCACCTGTGGAATATTTAAAAAATATTTAGATTGTCTCCCTTTAATCAAATAGGAACTAGCTCCTACTGAAAACGAAAGTAATCTGTTTAAAACAAAAAAAAAAGACAAAGTTCATTAAATCCAATTGACTAGGTAAGTTAACTAAACAAGCAGGAAAGACTTACTTATGAACCCCTCGTATTGAAGGAATAAGCATGGATATACACCACATAATCAATCGTTGAAGATGGTTACATTACTAAAATATACAATGCCACACCCTTTCATACAAGAGAAAAATTGGAACAGGTCGCTTATTTTCTAAGTGAAATGGTACCTATAAGATTTTATTCTTTTGTTTTATTTTTGTGATATCATGTTGCTTTATATGCCTGTTTGCTTGCTGTACTAAAGCGCCGCATTAAAAGATCTTTTTGTATTGTCATTGAACATTCATAAAGGTACCAGAATGTGCTTTGAGTTTAATATGTTGCGTTTGTATTGGCACTCAATGTATTCAACACTTGAGTTTAATATTGACGTTTTTGTATTCCCTTTATTGATCTTTATTTCTAATATTGTCTACTTACTGGTATGCTTTTCTAAGACACTCCACTTAGTGAGGCTCTTGGGTCAAATGTATTCTCCACTATTACAGTCGTGCCAGTCTAAAATGTTGATATAAGAATTTTAAATGCACTAATGGAAAAATATTCGACTTTTTAGTGCATATGTATTGATATAAAGACAAGATGTGGTATGATTGCCAATGATACAACTATCCACCAGAGACCAAACGTTGTAGATGAACTATAGGTGACCACAGGACCTTCAACTCTATAAAAAGGCATAATACAGTTTTTTTGTCAAATAAAGCTGATTATACCAGTGAATAAAATTAAACAACGAGAAATGAGGTTAATCATTCTGTCACTTGTTCTATCTAATTACATGTAGTACTTTTTTTCCCTAACTTTTATCTAGATATATGCATTATACAGGTGATATATAGAATTCGGATGGTTTTGTCAATTGATAAGATCTCGCTTCATCTATATAGGATTTGGTATCAAAATGTTCGTTTCTAACAAAATATCAATACTGAACAAAGTATTATTTAGATTCCATATTATAATCAATTTATGCATTATTCGCGGTTTTCCAAGAGTTTTTTAAGCTTACACCAGGTTGTTAAGGATAATTTTGACAGTCGTTGTTCTGATGTGGGTAGCCTGAAATTAGATAAATAATATAGATGGAAAATTATCAGAAGTAACTTCATAGAAAGGCAAAATAATTGTTCCTTCCGTCAAAAGAAACTTATGGTTTACTGTTTCTTTTGAATGAACAGCATCAAACTGGCATCGAGCATCAGTATTATAGTTTTTAACTAATTTGAGAACTTAAGTGGTAGAAATGAGAATACTTACCAGACATTATGCAAGTCTTGGTGTTGAGATAATTTATATACAATATTAATAATGAAATATATAAGAGGACGGCGGATCAATCACGTGTTCAGATGTAAAACGAAAGAATAATATTTGTCATTTAACCATTATAATCCGATCACACTACAAATTTAAGCTATAATTAAAAAGTCGGGATATGCACGTTTGGGCTAAATGATTTAGCCCAAATGTCTTGCCCCAAATTATTCGCCGGACATTTTGAACTTATATATAAAAGGGAAAGAAAAATGTACTTTCTAACAATGCAACATGATTATTAATATATAATACCCGTTTATTCAGACGTTGTATATAATAAATGTTCATAAAATTAAAAACAGATTTAGCATCAGAATTTTTCATTTAAATTTTTTTTAAATTTTTCTGACAGGGAATAATAATAAACAGAATTATTTGACTCTTTACCGAATTTTTACTTGAGAATGAGAAACACGAATAGAACAGGATACGAGATCACCCCCGGTTGTGGATGGGATTGCTCAACTATCATATAAAAATGAGATATGGTTACCAATCAAACTCAAAGGAAGTGGTAGTGCGTAATTATAAGTCACCTATCATGTCTTAGTTTTCTGTGTAGCGATTTGTTAACTGATTTTGTCTTTTTTTCGCTTCTCTCTTTATTTTTTGCAATGGTCTTGTCTGTTTTTCTTCGACTTACGATTTCTATTTGTCCCTTTGGTGTCTTCTGCTTTTTTTTACCATATAATGCTATATATACTCTGCAAAAAAAGAAACGCATAATGGATTTTTAAGAATTTTAACACATGTATTTTGAATGGAGATTACTAATAAAGATATTCACTCAAAACGTGTTTGATTGAGAAGAGGACGGTCAATTTCTTCGAGATTGATGAATAAAAGTCAATTTATCACAATTAGAGTTACTACCGGCGCCATTAAAGTTAGTCCCGTGTATGACCACCTCTCGTTGCTAAGACTGCTACGTATCTCCTCGGCATGGATGCTATCAATGTTCTAATGTTGTTGCGTGGAATCGCTCGCCATTCCTGTTACAACATTTGTCGGAGCTGATCAAGGGTCTGAGGCGGGGTTTGACGCTGGCGCACACGTTTATCCAGTTGGTCCCATAGATGCTCAATAGGATTCAAGTCCAGTGATTTTGAAGGCCAAGGTAGCACATTGATTTTATTCTTCTCAAGTAGTCTATTGTTAAACGTGCTGTCCGAGGCCTAGTATTGTCCTGCTGGAATAACTCCCTCTGTCGGTCAAAAACATGCATAAGGTGAGGTTCGAGAATTTCGTCTCTGTACCTTAGAGCCGTTCAATTACCCGGAACATGTACCAATTCCGTTTTACGGTCATTAGAGATAGCCGCCCACATCATGACATTTCTTCCACCGAAGCTGTCCACTTTCTGGACACACGAGGGAGTAAAACGTTCATTCATGCGCCGGTAGACACGAGTCCTTGAAGCATAAAACGGGACTCATCACTGAACCAGATTATGTGCCAGTTGCGGAATGTCCAGCCCCTCAATCTGTTGCACCATTGGACTCTATTCCGTCTGTGTAATGGCCTCAAAACGGGTCAAAATACGGCCTCCTGGGTCTAATGCCATATTGTCGCAGTCGATTGCGGACTGTTTCTGAGCTAATTCTTCTCAATCCTGGTATCTCAACTGCAGTGGCTGTTGCGGCAACGGTTCGATTCCGTAGATGAAATACCTCGATGTGGCGATCTTGCCAAGGAGTCGTTAGACGAGGTCGTCCACTCCTCGGGCGGTCATTAGTACAGCCAGTCTGCTGTTATCTGTTCCAAAGTCGCGAAATTGTGCTCTGGTTAACATTTTCAGTTCTTGCTACTTCACTTTGGGACACTCCGGCCTAGAGACGGCCGATAACGATATTTCGAATGGCAGCGTTTTAACGTTGTGTTGAATTAAATCTTCAAACTTGGTCCTTATATGCGCAAAAGCGTAACAATTGAGTTGTCTTGACCACAAAATTCTCGTGAAAAACGTTAGCAAAATTTCGCGGCGAAAAAGGTCATATGCACTTTTAGCGAGTCGCAAATTATATGTGGCAGAGAGCCAAATTGCTTTAAAGTTTAAAACTTACCTTTAAAAATTCGAAGATGCAATTGACCGTTTCATTTTACCTTGTAAAATATATATTTTACATTTTGAAAATTCATCCGAGCTATGCGTTTCTTTTTTTTAACAGTATATTATAATAACATTTGACAAGAACAGCAGGCTTATACGACAGTTTTGTGCAAAATTGTTTTGAAATGTTTCTTTGGGAATAAATTCCTGAAGTACCAACCTAAATTTATCACAGAAAATATTTTGTATTAATAACTGTATTGAACATTCCCGTGACTATGAACGGACTGCCGTGCTATACAAACTTGGTTATCATGATAAGAACTATGTTCAAACACTTAGAAAATTGGGAAGGTGGAAAGAGGTTTTACATATTTTTTGCATTTACTATGCCTCTACTTTTTGTTACCGAAGAAATAACCAAATCAAGATTCTTGTAATAAAAAGTTTATCAACTGTTGTAGGACATGGGACCAATAGACAGACAACTGATACCTTAATCTCCTAAAATTAACATGTCAATGGTTGGTATTTTTGCTCATTCATTTTGTCAAATGATGGTGTAGTGTTTTTTGTTTTTTATTTTTGATTAAAAATTTCATTCTATCCAGAAAGAGGAATTGGAAAATGTACTTAAAAAAAATAAGTAATACATTTTTATATAAATGGGTTTCTTTTTCCATTGCCAAAAATACGATTCCTTTATTTTAATATACAATACCTTATAGTGTTAAAAAGCAATGTAATGAGGAAGAAACATAAGTTTTATTACAAGTTCCTCGAGTTAACAGTTTTTTATATTTTCAAGTGAGACTGATCATTGTTACCTAAATTAATGACTGGTCACAGATTTGTATGGCACTGGTTTTTATAAAAGTAAAATATCGACCCCACTTGAATATTTTAATTTTATACATTATTTTCATTTGCATTTTCTTTTAAATCATAATGGTCATTTTACCCGTTACTATTTTAATAGATTTTTCTTTATTTTCGTAAACCTTTCCACTCTGAGCTTAAAAGTTCGAACCCTACTCATGGAGAAGTGTTTTCAAATCTGATCTTAATTGATAAGTTGGTGATTATCTCTGATTACTCCTGGTCCCTCCACACAAAAACAACAACAAAAAAATAGTTGCCATGACAATCAATATTGCTGAAAGTGACGTTAAACACAAACAAGCAAACAAACTAATGTTTTATTTTAATAACATCAGCCATTTTGGTTGGGCATATAGATAATCCGATGTTCATCTGGAAAGAGATAATGTCAAAACAATCCCAGAGGTTTTTGCTGGAGGGGTGCTTTATTTACTATTTTTACAAACGGTAGTGGCTATGCTTAAAAGTGATTGGGACGAAGTATTTAGGAGTCAGATTAAAGACTGGTCGACTTGGTGTCAGAAAAAGGTGCCATTGTAAGGTCACATGTCTTCCTGGGGACTGTCTTATGAACTAGCACGACAAAAAAAATTCAGCTACGTTTGTATGTAGATAAAATCTGGTTTATTTGGAGCATAATTCCTGGGAATCGGATCCAGATTTTACTTACATACCGTTACAAACTGTTCATTAATTGGTCCTCGGGATTCGTATCCCTCCACGATTTCTGA